TTGCCACCATTTCATTTGGGCTCTAGAGGAGTTGATGCAAAATCCTTCCATGGTCCTATCTATTGTGCTTCTCTGTCTCGATCACTCTTGAACAATTTTTGGCACAAGCGACTTGATAAGTATTACGTACTCTGGTCTCAAAATAATTGAAAGATCCAATTAACTGCTGATGTCAGAGCAGTTTCTATATAGTAGCTGACATTATCTGCCCCACCCCACTCCCCACGTGCCTTTTCAGCTTCAAACTTCCTATTTCTCCCCTTTGTCCTCAACTTATTTCAATTGATGTAAATTGAGTCCAGTGGGAAGAGAGGAGAGGCTGAGTTCCTTGGAGTCTCAGGCAACAGCGAAGTGCCGAAGCCTCCTCTTTCTTGTCCCTTAGTCCTCATTATTAACGTTGTCACCTTGATGTTTGGCCATACACATCCCAATCTTCATCTGTAAAATGCTGGAGATTATGCATTTCTTGGAACATCATTTTGCAACAGAGCTCAGATTTTAGACAATTGATTAGATAAGTCAGATACAGTGATATTCATCTGCTGTGGTGTGGTTCCAGGACCGAAGCCTACAAGAGTCTGCTCTGCTTGGTTGCAGAAACAGCCCATAAGGTTATCATTTTTACAACCAGGGTTCTTGCTTTGCCTACCTTCTAGGCAACAGTATAAGAACTTCTGCTTTGGACCATCTTAGCCAGCAAACAGGGCACAACTCCTTTGTAACTTCTGCTGGAACAACTCAGCCTTCAGCTCCCAGCAGAAGGGAACAGCAGAAGAAAGATAAGAGAGACCACAAGGCCTGCAGGAGCCTGATCGGCTTGGTTGCCGAGTTGGCCCAGAGGCACCCAGAATCCCTGCTTTTTTGTTTAATTGCTCTGTTTCCTTGATATCTCCTGTGCCATTTATGTTCCTATCCACTTTATTGATCTATTTACCTTTTAATCAATTTGTATGTTGGCCTCCTCCCCCCACCTCCAAAATTGGGTTGCTGTGGCTTGATGCTTGTTTATTATTGTTATGCTGTTTTGTGTCATTTTAATTTGTAACTTGCTGGGTTTTTGTTTTTTTTTTGCTTTTAATTGTATGTTGCCTGGGCTTGGCGCCATGTAAGCTGCCCCGATTCCCCTTGGGGAGATGGAGGTGGGGTAGAAAAATAAAGTTCTCCTTCTCCTTCTCCTTCTCCTTCTCCTTCTCCTTCTCCTTCTCCTTCCTCTTTCTTTCTCCTTCTCCTTCTCATTCTGGTCCTGCCTCTTCCCCCTTTTCTCCCTCCTCCTCCTCCTCCTCCTCCTCCTCCTCCTCCTCCTCCTCCTCCTCCTCCTCCTCCTCCTCCTCCCTCCTCCTCCTCCTCCTCCTCCTCCTCCTCCTCCTCCTCCTCCTCCTCCTCTTCTTCTTCTTCTTCTTCTTCTTCTTCTTCTTCTTTCTTCTTCTTCTTCTTCTTCTTTTCCTACCTTCTGGGCTACAGTATGGAGACTTCTGCTTTAGACCATCTTAGCCAGCAAACTGGTCGTAGCTCTGCTGGAACAACTCTGCCTTCAGCTCCAGGCTGAAGAGATTGGCGGCAGCAGGGGAGAAGGCTTGGTTGTGGGACACCCAGAGGCTTAGGGACCTTACATCTGGCATTCCTGCTTTACCTATCTTCTGGGCCTCAGTGTGGGGTGAGTTCTCTTTGGGGGTCTCTGGGGAGTCTCCAGTGTGACTCTCTGGCTGTTGTGGTTTTACTTTGCCTTGTTGGGAGCCGTCTGTGGGGCTGCAGAGGACTCATTGTTGATGCCTCTCCACATACTCAGGCCCACCACTTGCCATGACTCAATAGATTCTGCCTGCCAGTGCCATCTACCCCAGCTGTTGGAGTCTACAAGGGCTGAGAGAATCAATGCCTTCTGTATGGAGAAGAAGAGCAGATCTTGCTATTGCTGCCTGCCTCTATGTTTGGCGATCCTCAAATTTATTACTTCATTTTTAACATCTGACTGGCTGATTTTATATAAAGTTTTAATTGTCATCTGGCAGCCTGACCCATACAAGAAGGATGTGTTTTTTCTAAGGAGGGAGGGAGTCCCTGGATTCGTGGGACAACCATTGGAGTCATACAAGGCAGGAGGAGATGCGGAAGGGGGAAGACAGGTTCATCCCCAACAAAATAGGGAGCAAGATAGAATGCTTATTGCCCCCAAACTGTTTCCTATATTTAATAACCTAGATAATCAAGGTGACAGTCCCCCTAGGTTGAAAATGGTGCTGTTGAATGTCGTGTCATTATATGGAAAAACAATGATCATCCAGGACTTGATTCTGGATGAGTATGCTGATCTGCTTTGTTTCACAGAGATCTGGTTGGATAAGACTGGGGGGTTAATCTCTCTCAGCTCTGTCTACCAGGATTCTCTGTGCATCAGCAGGCAAGGACTGGGGGCCCGAGAGGTGGAGTTGCAGTGATCTATCATGATTCCATCCCCCTGACCAAGTTCCCCATTCCACAGTCAACAGCATTAGTTTGTATTTAACTAAAGATAGGTAACAAGGATAGAAACAGGGATACTGTTGATAAACCACCTACCACACTGCTCAACAGTCTCCCTTCCTGTGCTAGCTGGGGTGGACTCAAAGTTGGCATTGGAGTCTCAGCGGCTAATTTTGCTGGGAGATTTCAACATCCATGCTGAGACTGCCCTGTTGGGAGTGGCTTAGGACTTCATGGCCTCTATGACAACCATGGGTCTATCCCAGGTGGTGTATTGTTCTACCCATGCTACAGGATACCCCTTTGGACCTTGTTTTCTGTGCAGGATGGGATGATGGTGGTTGTGGTGTGTAGGAACATGTCACAGTTCTGTTTCATGGACCGAGCACTACCTGGTCAGATTTAGACTCACTGGTACTCCAAATCTTCACAGGGGTTGTCTGCCTTAAGTGACTTAGGGGTCCAAATGGATTCTTGATGGCTCTTGGGTATTTTCCTGTCACCTTAGCAGGTGATTCTGTTGAAGTTCTGACTGACCTCTGGAATGGGGAAATAGCCAGGGTGGTGGACACAATCACTCCTGAATGTTCCCTCTCATGGAGCAGAGTCAAATCAGCCCCTCAGTTTTCCAAGGAGTTGGCAGTAATGAAGCAAGTGAGATGAAGACTAGAGCGATGTTGGTGGAGAACTCAAAGCGAATCTGACCGAGCATGAAAACCTACTCCGCAGCAATGGAAGCAGCAGAAAAATAATTTCTGGCTGCCACCATTGCATCTGCAAGGAACCACCTAGCTAAGCTGTTTTGAGTGGTCAGAGGGCTATTACATATTGGTCTTTAAGGAGAAACACCTGACCATTCAGGTGCCTGCTGTGAGGAATTTGCAATGCACTTTGAAGATAGAATAGCTCAGATCTGTTCCGGCTTGGTGTTATGGATACAGTTCCAATGGATGTAACTTTGGCTCCTGCTTGTCCAGCGTTGATGGATACCTTTCAATTTGTCCAGCCTGAGGATGTGGGCAGGATCCTTGGAGAGGTGAGAACTACCACATGTATTCTAGATCCTTGTCCTTCCTGGCTGATCAAACAAGCCAGAGGTGGAATGGCAGAGGTGGTGAAGGCAGTGGTCAATGCCTCCTTAGAACAAGGCAAAATTCCAACTTACCTAAAGGAGGCAGTAGTGAGACTTGTATTTTAAAAACCATTCCAGAACCCCTCTATAATGGTCAGTGTCCAACCTTCCATTTCTGAGCAAGGTTTTGGAGTGTGTGGTGGCCTCCCAACTTCAGGGATTTCTGGATGAAATGGAATTGTGCCGATATGTAGACCGCCCTGAGTCGCCTGCAGGCTGATATGGACGGGATATAAATGATATAAATAGTACATAAATAAATAAATAAATAATCTAGATCCATTTCAATCTGATTTCAGGCCTGGTTGTGGAACAGAGATAGCTTTGGTCACCTTGGTGGATGACCTCCACAGAAAACTAGACAGGTGGAGTGTGTCCCTGTTGGTTATCCTGGATCTCTCAGCGGCTTTTGATACCATCAACCATGGTATCCTTCTGGGTCATCTTCCTGGGATTAAACTGGGAGACACTGTATTACAGTGGCTCCAGTCCTTCCTGGAAGGCTGTACCCAGAAGGTGGTGCTGGGGCACTTCTGTTCGATCCCCTGGCCATTGACTTTTGGAGTTCCTCAGGGTTCCATTTTGTTCCCCATGCTGTTTAACATGTACATGAAACCACTGGGAGAAATCATCTGGAGTTTTGGAGTAAGGTGCCACCCCTGAATATTTGAGGGCATTTAGGGGAGCAAATATCCTTCTTTGAAAACTTTTTAAAATCCTTTTTGAATGCTAGTCACCACCAAAAGAGCCCCGGAGACCACATGTGGCCCATGGCTTGCACCTTGCTCCCTCTTGCTCCAGCCATAGCAAGTAACTCCACATTCTAGCACAGAAATCAAGAACCTTGAGCCTTGGGGTTCAAACTGGCCCTTTGGGCTTTATTTATTTAATGTATATCTTGCTATTCTCCTCTTAAGGTTTCCCAGTTGATCACATCCCCCCCCCCCCCATGATTTCATCTTCTGTTAGTTTCCTAGCTTTCAATTGACTTCTTCCCAGCTTTAAAAAAAGTGTAAACACATCTCCTAAGATTTATCACAGCATAGTGCAGTGATATGACTCTGGACACCAGGGTTGACTCCCCACTCAGCTATAGAAATCAACTGGGTGACCTTAGACAAGTCACATTCTCTCAGCCTCAAAGGAAGGCAAAGGCAAGCTTTTTCTAAACCAAAAATCTCATTGATAGATTTGCTTTACAGTTACCTTAAGTCAGAAATGACTTAAAGGCATACAGAAGCAACAACAAAATAACTTTAAACCAAAATATTGTAGCATTTTGGTCCCAACTTTTGACCTTTGCTCTAACCAACCCTGGAATGCATCTCTAGGTCTAGGATCTGTGAGGGGTCAATGGTGGGGAGAAGTTTATCTTGTCATACAAAACAAATGTATAAGTCACCACAAAGCAAGGAATGTTTTGTTTATTCTAGGATTCATAATTTAAACAGAATTTTCACATTTATTTTACAAAAGAAAACAACTTCCTCATATGTACCATTGGTTTGTCTGACTTGAATTTTTAAAATGGTAACCATGAAAATGCTTTTCATAGGAAAGCTTTTCTACCATGTTGATATTTATATGGATTGGGTTGGATCCAAACTTAGTCATACTCCATAGTAAAATCAATTAGGCTTAGGTTAGCAGTGAGTCTATAAAAGGTACACCTAATTCTGGATCCAAACCATTGCTGAAAATTGTGCAGAACAGATTGATAGTGAGATAGATAGAACACTCTCCTTTGAAAGTTTTTCAGTTAGTACATAGCATATGGTAAACTTGAAAGCATTTTCCTTTGGCAATAGATTGTGATATTCAGCAACATTTGTGGTCACAAAACAACCGAGGGATGAGTGAAATACTTTTAATATGTCTCTACACTAAATTGTAAGAAATTAAATGAGAAAGATTTTTTTCTTGAAAATTCTGCATATGTTTTATATAATATATATTGCATTGTATAGTTTTACAGACAAATTTACATCAAGTACATGTTTTCTTAAACACTGATTTGAAAAGGATGACAATTTTTTTCTGTACAGTAATGGGACTTCGATTTGAATTTCTTTTAAGCAGAGTGTGTACTCATATTTAAGAAGTGTACTCATATTCTTCTGCACTGCGACGTCCAAAATCCATCCAGCCCATGTAATCTCTGTCTTTTATCCTGTGTGTAGGGTCAAAATTCTGTAATCCCATCACAGAGGCCTTTCCAGTAGAACCTTTAAAAGAAAGGAAGTTATACAAACGTAAATAAATGATTTTGCAGAACAGAGATAGCAACAAACACTTTAAAATGGAGGATAGAAACGCTGTGGGAGAACTCAATCCACCAGTATATCATGGAGTGTAGAGACACCTGAGTAGGCACACACAACTTAAGGACTTCCTTTTCAAGATCCCTGATCTTAAGAAAAGTAGTTTTGGAGAACTTTAGTATGCACAGAACACTTGCACATTTTAAAATGCAAAATGCTAAAAATGCACAAAATGCACATTGATCAATGGATGACGTTAAGGACATTAGTTAAAGTCCATAAATAAATGTGTACACTCAGAAGAATACATGTAAAATGTGTGTGAATTCCTATGCAGGAATAAAGTGGCCTTGCAATATGGAAAGAAAATAAAGGTGATTTTGATACTCTTGCCAGAATGGTATGTAGACAGTAGACAGAGTTTATTGTTAGTTCTCTAGGTGTTTTGCTAGAAACCAAAAAGTGTTTCTGACTCCAAGAAGCAACAACTATGAAATATTCCTTCTCCCTTGCCAAAAACAGCACATATGTGGGTTTAGTCTGTTTAATAGATTGTTCTTAGTTTTAATTGCTTATGTGCTTGGATTGTTTATATTTTTTGTGAGATGTGTTTTATTGTTTACCTGTGTAGCACTGAATTTTTACCAGATTTGTAAGCCACCTTGAGTCCCCTCTTGGGTCGAGAATGATGGGGTAGAAATGAAGTTAACAAAATAAATAATAATTAAGGTGGGAAACTAGAATTTATGAGTAAAAGGATCTGTGAGCTGGGTTCTGTATATGTACATTTTCCTGTCCTTAATCTAACTACATGGCTGAGCCACTATTTTATAACTAGCATCAAGTGCTTGATTCTAAGCTTTAAAAAACTAAATCTTTCATACCTGAAACCTACTCCCCTTCCTCAGAATTCCACCATTCTGTTACTACTGAACTGTTGTCGACAACATGATCGAGTAATTAGTAGTCACTGAACCTCTAAATGCAGATATGCTTTACTTTATCCCTGGCTAGTTGATGTTCGTAGGCTAAACCTCACATGAGATATTAATTTGTGCCTGTTGTGGCATTGGTAACACAGAATCCTGGTCAAGGCATTACTTGGTGTTTTATATGTGGTTTTAATCTGTTTGTTAGATTGTTATGTGTTTTAATTGCTTATATGCTTAGATTGTTTATATTTTTATAAGATTTGTTTTATTGTTTACTTGTGTGGCATTGAATGTTTGACGGATTTGTAAGCTGCCTTGAGTCCCCTCCTGGGTCAAGAAAGGCGGAGTAGAAATGAAGAAAATAAATAAAATAATAAATAAGGCAGAGGGGACTGTCATACTATCATATCTATAATGAATTTTAGTTCTACTGCTTCAGTGGTTTTCCACTGTATTCCTACTGACTACTGTGACACTAGGAAGTGCAGAGATACACCAATATTGTAGAAATATTTCTGCAACCAAACTAAAGATGAGTGTCTTTTCTCCCATGAAATTTAATGTGTTGTTTTGGGCAAGTCATTGCCCTTTAATATGACTCAACTCACAGGGCTGCTGTGAAAATAGACAAAGTGATAGTATTTTTACTTGCCATCCGATGATTACTGGAGTAAATCAGAATGTATATGTTATACTTATAAAAACTTAGAAGAATTAATGGACCAAACATTCATTCACTAATGAATAACAGATATGTAGGCTATATTTCAAAGGAAGGAACTGATAAAAAACTAACTTAAGAATCTCTTGCCTAAGAAAACCACATGAATTTCATAGGGTTGCCATAGGTCAACATGCAACTTGAATGTGCACACATAGAAGGCTATGAAATGTTAATGCCTAAATGCAGTAGCAGCCAGTGGTTCCCATGTCATTGGGGTTGTGATTCCAGATTTTGGATACAGTATCTTAAAGATGCTAAATTACTAAACTTAATTTGAGGATGAGTTTCAGTACCTTGGACAGCTCCCTTAAAGCTAGCCATAGAGCCTGGTCACCAGCAGCCAGAATATATATGTTCAAATTGCATACATTTTAGAAAGGCAAATTGAAAATTATTTCATGGAAAAAGGGTTGCAGCCCTCTGGAGAACTTCAGAGGGACAAATTTATTCTATTTTCCTAGAGATTCAAACTTATTCCCAAGATGTGACATTTCCCACATCTGATTTATTGTCCTAAACTGATTTCTGATATACTCAACCTATAGACTCAAAAGGGACATTTCAGTATGAATGGTCACTTGAGCCCTTGAGTACCATTTCTTGCATACATCCTAACTGAACTCCTTTAACTAAAATTTCAATCAATAGTTGCAAAGACCTGATTACTACAAAGGATATTCTGAACTACTTTGCTTTACCTCCAACCTAATGCAGCAGTGATGTAGTCGTATACAATTGTCCCCATAGCAATATACCCTTGCACTCAAGGAAAGTCCCAAACTTCAGGAAGCCATTTTGATCCCTATCAACAGAACAGTTCAAGTGATTTTCATCTTCACCTGTTTTGTAAAGCTAGCGGGTCTTGATGTTTTAGTTCAAGACACAAAGCACTCCCAAATATTTTGCATTACAAGTAGGATAGCTCATAACATCCTTGCTAGAAGATAACCTATCTTGCCCCCATGCCTTAACTACTATGAAGTTTGCAGCTATGTGTAAACAGAGGGTAGAGAGAGAGGTCATCATTGTTCTTGCTAATCAAAATGCCCTAGTGCTCTACCATGCAAGCCCTGGCTCTTCTGCAACATTATTGGTGAACCACAATAGATTCTGCTGCTGGTGAAAAGCTTTTGTAGCCCATTAGGTTATAATTCACATTCTTGCATCTATTCCCGAAGAGATGTAATGGAAGACTCAATCTAACAATAAGAGCTTATTTTCATGCTTATTTTTCTTCTCCTGTGAGTAAAATACTACAGCTCTTGACTCTATAATCCTATAGCCGATTAGCCAGTTGTAAGCTCTTCTGAACTCCTAGGGAACTTAAATTGGATTGCACTATAAGCCTCCTTTACAACTCTGGAGCCCGTACTAAGTAGTCATTTAATCGTCACAAGGGCTTCATTTAGATTCCATTAAAACAACACCAAAATGCACAAATCAGCCTTGTGCATTTGATGATCTCATCTTAATAGCTGAATTAATTATATTGCAAGGGAGCATTAGTTCATAAAAGGAATCGCTGTTACTCAACTGTCTCCTAAATGGCAAGAAAGAACTAGTCCCACTTTTACCTGTCCTTAGATATTTGGACAGTTTGTAAATATGTTTAAATCATATGTTGAGGTATTTTAAAAAGTATTTTGAATAACAATAGGTCATTTACAGCTGGTGATTCCGAATGTTGAATGTTTCAGAGTTCCAAACTCTTAATGTTTGTCTGAAGTTTAAAGCTGTGATACCACCTTTCGCATTTGGAATAAACCCCATAGTGGATGCATCACGTCAGTGGCAAAGAAGATAGCAGACACCACTTGTCTTTTCTATATAGGTCATAACTTATAATGTAGATAATTCTGGTCATCAGTATATAAAATGGAATCCAGAAAGAGTCCTTGAAGGTCCTCATAACACCTGGATCTGGGGGGGGGGGGACTAGTTACATGCCTTCTCTTCTTAACACATCTATGTGGAGAGAGTCAGCATAGTGTAGTAGTGATTTGAGCATTGGATGTCTGGAGCACAGGGTTCAAATCCCTGCTAAGCCATGCAAACCCACTGGGTGACCTTGGACAAGTCACACTCTCTCAGCCTCAGAAGAAGGTCTCTGAATAAATCTTGCCAAGAAAGCCCCATGAAAGATTTGCCTTAGGAATGGGCTTGATGGCAGATAGCAACAACCAATGTGTGTAGAAGTGAGGGTTGTGGAGGAGGAAATTACTGAAATATCTTTGCTTAGATACACTTAGAACATGTATCAAAGTATTTACCTCTTCGGGCTTGCTGGAGGTATTTGGCTAAAAGAGCTACCATGTTGGCTTTCTGGTCCACGCTGCCATCAACCTGCCGGATAGTTTTCTCTGCGTCTGGGTTACGGATGTGCCGGTGGTTTTCCAGCAAATTCTGCTCAAGATCGGTGGCCACAGGATTGCCATTGTGGGAGCCCGATGTCTGCTGCCCTGAGGAGCTCATGGACAGCACAGCCAGGAGGAGAAAGAGGCAAATCCCACTATACATAGCTAAAGAGAAAAGAGGAGAAAACATGATGAAAATCCTGAGTGGATAGATGGAGGGAGACAGCTTTGAATTTACAAGAAATGTGCTTACAAAATCAAGGTTTAAACCTTATTGTTGATGGCCATTTCTCCAGCAGCCTAGAGATGCTTTGGGTGAAAACTACTCTATTACATCACCAAATAAACCCCTCTGGGAGCCTGCAAGTCTTAAGACAACAAGTGGCTTGAAGACCAAGGCTTTCCATACATTTCTTCTCTTGGTTAGATTTGAAAACATCTTATCTAATGAAGGGATCTGAAGATCTTGAAAAGTTACACATGTCTTTTCAATCTTTCCCTTTTAGTCCATTGAAGGTATTGCCAAAACAAGAATTCTAAATGTCAGTTGTTTCCAAACATGAATATATCTCTCTCTCTCTCTCTCTCTCTCTCTCTCTCTCTCTCTCTCTATCTCTATCTCTATCTCTATCTCTATCTCTATCTCTATCTCTATCTCTCTATTTCTCTATCTCTCTATCTCAAGACTTCAGAAGTATCACATACAGATCAGTGGCTGAAATTGCTAATCACAGAAAATCAATCTATGGGAATTCTGTTTTGTGGAAAACTTACATCTTTCTGTGATATTGTTTTGAAGTGAAGTACTTCATGGCATTTTTTTGGCTTGGATTTTTAGGCACTGCAGAATTCAGTATATGGAGTGATGGAAGGAGGGCTAATTTTGCCCTTTTATAAGTATGATCTGTTCGCTTTTTTTGGGGAAAGTTGGTGAAAGCTTTACATTAGTCTTTTTGCAGTTGTTGTTTATCACTGTGCAGCTTTTCCAAATTCTAGAAAAACTAATAGGGTTGACTTCATTCTCAGATTATTTCAATGTAGACCAAATTGATATGCAATGCCCCCAGATCATATCATGGTGTTAATTTCTCTGGGGTAACCAATGCTAATTGGAATAAAATTGAAATGATTTGATTCTTTTGAGAGAGAAATGCTACACTGATTTGGCTATGAATAAAGAGTGAATGAAAGTTCTGATCTGCAAGAAAGGGATTTCACCATCCTAAGTAACCTTAGGTAGTTTCATATGCATTCCTTCAAAATAGATGGATATAGATGGAGATAGATATCTGCCATTTGTGAAGATGCTTTGATTTAGAGAGGAAAACAGTATGACTAGAAATGTGTGTGTGTGAGAAAGAGAGAGAGAGAGAGAGTTGTACTGATTCTATGATTTCACACATTTATGAAATAATCTCACTTCATATATTGTAGTTATTAGGTAAAACTACCTTGAAATATAGCAGAGCATCCAAAAAATCAAACAGGATACTTAAAAGTTGAGCATTCAGCTCATTAGTGAGCAGAGCATGAAATGCCGTTGGTTATGAGTGTAAAGAATTTAGAGCTTAGGCAGGCAAAGATGCAGAGTCCAATCTTAAAAATCACAAAAGATTTGTTTACAATAATAAACAATAACTGCATTTCTTAGTAAAGAACTGGATCTAACACCCATCTCTTTCAAAGAGAGGGAAAAAAACACCAATCACTACATGTACCTGACACGCACACAGAGAGAGATCTCAAAGCACACAGCACATACTCAGATGTAAAAAAACCCCAAAAGTCAGATTTAAAAAGATTTGCAGTAGAAAAATATCCAATCTACACAAACAATCAGAATAAGAGCAGAAACAGAGAGGAGAGAAGAAATAGATACATTCCTATCTGTCAAACAGGAGACATGGGGGAAATGAAACACTTAGCCTATTCTAACCAACTTGTTCCTCATTGAGAACTTGAGACTTAGGCAGTGTGGGGTTGAATTCCAACAGTACTATCCCATTTTACACACAGAAATCAGAAAAAGAGCCATCCTCAACTAAGGGTGTGCATGTACCACATATTTTAGCAGAAGAGTTTAACATGTATCCTACACAGCAAGAAAAGTTGGCTCAATCATGCCGAATTCTGTACTGCGTGCTAAAAACATAAACCTCCTTAAGTATTACACATACTACACAGTACATACATAACTCCTTTGTTTGAAACTCTAAAGCTAGGTTGGTTGTACGGGGAATAAAAATGAGTCAAAACATCATCCTGCATCTAGTTTCTCTGTACCAATTAACAAATCAGAAGTAGGAATATAAAAGGATAAAAAGACTACAGTTTCCTAGACACCTATCACCTAATCCATTTAAACTATAAACTATACACATTTACCTTTAAACTCAAAGGTGTTTTACTTTTAAGTAGACGTATATACGACTGCATTGCATGTGGAAGTTGGATTGAAATAAAATAACACTTGCTCTCAATACTTTTAGGATTGGAGATTCAGGGGAAAAAACATCCCATATTTCTGTTCTTTATGCAAAAGTATCTTTGTCTTTTAGCACAACAGAGACAAACTTACACAGCAAAAGTTCTGGCTAAAAAAGAACAAGTTAAACATCCAGTCTTGTCAAACAGGATTCTGTTAACCAACATCATCCACATTAGCAAAAGATTCAGAAAAGTTGCAAGCACAACACACAAACAACAATATACTCCTAGAGCTGCCTTGTACGTTTCTGCAGGTTGTAGCTATCTATATTTTTACAATTTATCAGTGTAGTCCAAGATAAATGTTCACTTTGAAAAATAAGAAAATTACTTCTGCCTTTGGTTTTTCACCACCCAGCCAGCTCTAATGAAACTTAGAGGTTTGTTATGGTATCTTACCTTTGGAATGAGGTGCAGATTCCTGCTGTACACCAGAGAGAAGAGGCAGCCTTGAGGTGGTGGCTGAGCCCTTCTGCTCTGCCTCTTAAATAGTCTGGTTCAACAATGGGAAGAACGTAGTTTGTTTGCACAGATCTGACGCAACTGTGGGAGCACCACATGCTTCGCGGCATGGATGGAGCAAAGCAGTGAAGCATATGGGGAGGGGAGGATGCGAGGGGGCTTGGAGAGATGAAAGCATCCTAAAGAAAAGACAGGACTCCTGGAGTTTAATCCTGTCGGTGTTTCCCTGACAATTCTTCCTGTCCCATAACTAAAACTCAACAGCGCTGAGCCTCCCAAATGAATGTCCTGAAAGTTATTTCTTATCTTCCCAGAACAGTCAGATTTACTTTTGGTTAGCCAATGCAGGGATATATTTTTTTCATGTCAGGAGCAATTTGAGAAACTGCAAGTTGCTTCTGGTGTGAGAGAATTGGCTGTCTGCAAAGATGTTGCCCAGGGGATGCCGGGATGTTTTTGATATTTTACCATCCTTGTGGGAGGCTTCTTTCATGTCCCCACATGGGGAGCTGGAGCTGACAGAGGGAGCTCATCTTCACTCTCCCTGGATTCGAAACTCTGACCTGTCAGTCAGTCTTCAGTCCTGCCGGCACAAGGGCTTAACCCATTGTGCCACCGGGGGCTCAGGGATGCACTGTCAGTTCCATCAAACTAAACATCATTCCTTGTAGGCACACAGCAAACTTATGAAGTGCTGCTGCAAACTTATGAAGCACTGCATATTCTTCTCCCAAATACTCAATGGGAATACAATTAGGTATGCACTATCATTTAAAGGTGTATTGGAGCTGTTGGTATTACAATATTAATTTATATTAATGATGATGATGACTGTTGAAAACAATGTCAGATATTCCAGAAACTGATTTTAGACCCCTGAGTTCAGAACCCAGGCCCGTAGCCAGGATTTCGTTTCGGGGGGGGGGGGGGCTAAAAAATTTTTCAGCCAGGATTTCGATTTGGGGGGAGGGGCTGAGTTTCGGGGGGGGCTGAGTCTGAGTGAAAGAGGGTCTAGCCTAGCAAACCTTTTGTATAATTACCCCAATACCCCCATGCATATGGGATATATTGAGTATGGTGATCAGATCATGATATGAATAAACATAACAGTTTAAATAATGCACCAGTAAGGCCTTTTCGCGAACCACCATGAGAATTTCGGGGGGGGGGGCTGAAGCCCCTCAAGCCCCCTCCCCCTGGCTACATGCCTGTCAGAACCCTTTACTTCTAAACAGGCAAACATAAAATTACACTGTAAATACAGACTGGTATGGGAACCAATATTGTGTAGTGAGCATTGGACTATAACGCTGAGGACCAGAATTTGATTCTCTTCTCAATCTTGGAAACCTACTAGGTTTTTTTTTTGGGGGGGGGGGGGGTTTGTGTCAGGAGCGACTTGAGAAACTGCAAGTTGCTTCTGGTGTGTGAGAATTGGCTGTCTGCAAGGATGTTGTCCAGGGGACGCCGGGATGTTTTTGATGTTTTACCATCCTTGTGGGAGGCTTCTTTCATGTCCCCACATGGGGAGCTGGAGCTGATAGAGGGAGCTCATCCACTCTCCCTGGATTCGGAACTCTGACCTGTCAGTCTTCAGTCCTGCCCGCACAAGGGCTTAACCCAGGGGTCCTCAAACTTTTTAAACAGAGGGCCAGGTCATAGTCCCTCAAACTATTGGAGGGCCAGATTATAATTTGAAAAAAAATGAATGAATTTCTATGCACACGGCATATATCTTATTTGTAGTGCAACAAACACTTTAAAACAATACAATAATTAAAATGAACAACAATTTTAATAAATATAAATTTATTAGTATTTCAATGGAAAGTGTGGGACTGCTTTTGGTTGATGAGATGGGGTTGTTGTTGCTGTTGTTGTTGTTGTTGTTGTTGTGTGCTTTCAAGTCATGTCAGACTTAGGTTGACCCTGAGCGAGGGCCGGGTAAATAACCTTGGAGGGCAGTATCTGGCCCACGGGCCTTAGTTTGAGGACCCCTGGCTTAACCCATTGTGCCACCAGGGGCTCAGGGATGCACTCTATGCAATGTCAGTTCCATCAAACTAAACATCATTCCTTGCAGATGCACAGCTGCTTTGACTCTTCTGCCCCATTTCTGCTACATACGTCATGATGGACTTCCTAGCTGCCACCCATATGTGCACTGAATCCAGAACAAGTTGAACATTATTTAATTTCATTTCCAGTGGCTTCATGTGCAACTAACTTTGTCTCAATCCACAACAAGGGATCAAACATTTGTGAGTGTACCTGCTTGAAGAGAAGTTTAATCATCAACAATGACGAAAAAACTGAGTTCAGGTAATGTAACCAATGCCTTCTGCCTATATGACAACTTAACAATAAATTGAAATGGGTTATCATAGATGGAAACATAGCCCAGTGAAATGAAACAGAATGTTAACTATTAAAGAGAACATGTTATCCTGCCCCAGACTGGGAGGAAAAAACAGCGTATCCCCCGCCTCTTCTACATCTACGTCTACATCTACGTCTACGTCTATATCTATCTATATATAAAAAAATGTAATGTTTGTTTGTGGTATTAACAGAACTCGAAATCCGCTGGACAAATTGACACCAAATTTGGACACAAGGCACCTAACAACCCAATGTATGTCCTTCACTCAAAAAATTTGATTTTGTCATTTGGGAGTTGTAGTTGCTGGGATTTATAGTTCACCTACAATCAAAGAGCATTCTGAACCCCACCAACGATGGAATTGAACCAAACTTGGCACACAGTTCTCCCATGACCAACAGAAAATACTGGAAGGGTTTGGTGGGCAGGTGTCCTTTGGTTTTGGAGTTGTAGTTCACCTACATCCAGAGATCACTGTGGACTCAAACAATGATGGATCTGGACCAAACTCTACACGAATACTCAATATGCCCAAATGTGAAAACTGGTGGAGTTTGGGGAGAATTGATTTTGTCATTGGGAGTTGTAGTTGCTGGGATTTATAGTTCACCTACAATCAAAGAGCATTCTGAATCCCACCAACAATAGAATTTGGCCAAACCCCCCACACAGAACCCCCATGTGGGCCACAGCAATGTGTGGCAGGAGACGGCTAGTCTACAATAAAAGTGAAAATATGTTTGCTTTTTTGTATGTTTGTATGTGTTTTCCAAGAAGTTTGTATGCAATTTCCTGGGAGTCCTTTGATGCCCACCTTCTTAATGCCATGACCCCTAAATACAGTTCCTCATGTTGTGGTGACCCCCCACCATAAAATTATTTTCATTGCTACTTCATAACTGTGATTTTGCTGCTGTTATGAATTGTAATGTAAATATCTAGTATGCATGATGTATTTTCATTCACTGGATCAAATTTGGCACAAATACCCGATATGCCCAAATCTGAATGCTGGTGGGGTTGGGGAGGATTGATTTTGTCATTTGGGAGTTGTAGTTGCTGGGATTTATAGTTCACCTACAATCAAAGAGCATGCTGAACTCCACCAATGATGGAATTAAACCAAACTTGACACACAGAACTCCCACAACCAACAAAAAAATATTGGAAGAGTTTGGTGGGCATTGACCTTGAGTTTTGGAATTGTAGTTCACCTGCATCCAGAGAGCACTGTGGACTCAAACAATGATAGATTTGGACCAAACTTGGCACGGATACTCAAAATGCCCAAATGTGAACAATGGTGGAGTTTGAGGAAAATAGACCTTGACATTTTGGAGCTGTAATTACTGGGATTTATAGTTCACCTATAATCAAAGAGCATTCTGAACCCCACAAATAATGGAATTGAGCTAAACTTCCCTCCCTCCAGCCCCGCATGTTCTCCCTCACCCCGTGCATGTGCTCCATGCTGCCATGCGCCAAGCACACCTGCTCTCCCCTCCCCGCTTGGAGTCTCAGAAACAGCCCTCCCCTTGGCCTTCTCTGCCAAAGAGGTTCCTAAGACCATCAGAAATATATTCTTTCTGATGGTCTTTGGCAACTGCTCTAAAAACTGCCTTTGCTACCAATGTGGGCTAGAACTTCACCAAACAAGAACTCCCAGGATTCCATAGCATTGAGCAGTAGAAGTTAAAGCGGCATACACTGTAATAATTCAGATGCACCCAGGGCACTTGGGAGTTGTAGTTTTATGTGATCTCTTGTCTCCTCTAGCAAAGTGGGCTGTGGACTCACCAAACAACTCCCAGTATTCCATAGTATTGAGCGGTGGATGTTAAAGTGGTATCCAACTGCATATGTTCAGATATGCCCAGGCACTTGGGAGTTGTAGTTTTATGGGATCTCTTGCCTTCTTTACCAAAGTGGATTGGGGCCTCACCAAACAACAACTCTCAGGATTCTATAGTATTGAGCTCTGGAACTGCATGTATTCAAATATGCCCAGGCACTTGGGAATTGTAGTTTTATAGGATATCTTGCCTTCTCTACCAAAGTGGGCTGGGGCCTCACCAAACAACAACTCTCAGGATTCCATAGTATTGAGCTGCATTCATTCAGATGCACCCAGACACTTGGGAATTGTAGTTTTATGGGATCTCTTGCCTTCTCTATCAAAATGGGCTGGGGCCTCACCAAACAACAACTCCCAGGATTCCATAGTATTGAGCCATGGAACTGCATTCATTCAGATGCACCCAGGCAATTGGGAATTGTAGTTTAATGGGATCTCTTGCCTTCTCTACCAAAGAGGGCTGGGAACCTCACCAAACTACAACACGCCCAGGATTCCATAGCCTTGAGCCATGGCTGTTAAAAGGGGTGACAATCAAAATGCACTTTGACCGCCTATAGCTGTCAAGAAGCTTGACTTCTTAGTGATAGATCTGTATCAGCTGATAGACCCCAAGGCCAACCAGAGCAGGCTACAGGCTCTGGCAATAGCTCTTCTTGGCTTTGACTGGGGGCTCTTCCTTCCTCAGCCCCAAATTGGGGACCTGGACCAGGGAAACGCCTGAGTCTGAAGCACAGGATCTGCCCTTGAGCTCCCGGGTCTGGCTGGAGCCTCTTTGCCTGGCTGTCTTGGGCGTGGGCGCCGGGGATCCATCTGGCACAATTGATCCTCCCTGGCGCCGTCCTCTGGGGCCATTGATCCCCTTGGCCAGCT